AAACATGTTGAAACGGTTATTCAGTTAGTCACAGCTTCAGCATGCAGGCACGTCCTAAGAACGTGGGAAATGTGCTGAATAAGTGCCAAGAATAAACACATTATCATGAGCAAAGCAAACCAAGCAAAGCATCACTGGCGAATCCCTATAATTTAGAGACGATGTTTTACAATGCGGTATGCTGTACCATCAAGTACGGTGATCAATCCAAATCAAGTTAGAGGTCAATATCACTACAATTAATGTAAAATTATTCTGGCCATCCAATATGGCCCGAAAACCATACATTCATTCCAGAATGTCCTTGTCTCCCAGCCGCTCAGACTGGAAATAATTGGGCTCTAGGCTGGGCTTGGTGTACACGTAGTGCGAGTCTTACTACCATGGAATTTGCCTCAGCGAGGCAATCCCTCAGAAAACATTCACACTGGCTGAAACAGCCTCCGTGCAGAGCTAGGTGCTTTACAGCATTTATGCATACAATTTAAAGCATCCGGTTGCCGGGCAAGTACTTTCAGCATCCACTCATGCAGGTCCAAAACAATGTGCTGCCAGGCTGGGTGCCTTTCAGCACTCATTCCCACAGGCTGAAACAGCCTGTTGCCAGAATAGGCGCCTTTCAGTGCTCATTCACTCACTGATATCTAGGAAGCCTATGAAGCGATATTTCTGCGCAGCCATTTGCGGGTGGTATGTGGTCACGAATGATGGCCAACGCGGTGTCTGTGGAGTGACGAGGGCAAAGACCGTAGTGAAAAGAGGAGAGGAGGTGTTCGGAGGAGATCTCATTTTAGACTCCTAATGGACAGTGTGCTTTACGATTTTAGCCATCACAGGAACGACGGTTGTTGGCGGTAATGAGAAGGCTGGGTGCATTAGCCGGACTTGAAGATGGGTGGGTCTAAAGAATGTCTCCCGGATGTCGGGAAGAAGGGACGTCGGCGATGAACGGCCAGAGTTTGACCAAGTGCAGAAATTTTATGGCGATGACGTCAGGACTAAGGCGGACGGCACGCAGCTGATGACGTCCTCGCTACTGGCAGAGAAGATGATTATGCCAAGAACTATTATTGGCAACTCGGACATTGAGGGGACGGCAGGGTCAGGGTGCAGGCACCGACACGAGGCAAGCGACACGGGGTTCAGGTGACGCTCCCGACCGACCACCTCGCCAGCCACACGAGGACCTACGCCGACGAAACAGGCGCTAAGCACATCCGGAACAGCGACCCAGGTAACACGACCCGACCTGCGGCCACCAGCGGCGGTGTGAGTGGACCGCCAGGCCGATGACGCACCACCCTCTGCCATTCGAGGCTGAATACCGTCACATGTGTGACGGCACAGTGGCGAACGCACAGCGCGATTGAGCTCCCTGTAGGTGTCAGAGCGGTGACCGTGCTGCGCCAGAGCTTGGCGACGGCGCCGCGTCAGGCTGCGGGTAGCTTTTGTCACCGCGGCGGCAACAGGGCTGCGGAGGCGAGTCAGGCGAAATGACGCATGCGCGTCGCCAACCCGGCCTCAAGTGTGTGCAAAGTACTGTTACTTCCGAAACGCTGTTGCAGAAACACTCAGAAAAACAAGCAAAAAAGTAATCGGCGCCCAGGAGGTCGGAGTGAAAATATGGTTATATGTGTCAACGGTGTGTCAGTGTCACGTGACAATAATGATACCATAGGTATTCAACGTCTAAGTCACGTCAAGTCAAGTCTGATATATCGCTCGAAGTAATCTTAACGGCCTTACAGTGCACCAGCGCCATCCTTGCACGTGGTGCCTGCAAATGAAAAGCCTTCCGCGGTTTACGCCATGAAAAGTCATGGAATAACATGACTCGATATCAGTCCTCTAAAGCAAGTAACAACGCATTGTGATTTGAACCAGGCTTTCTTTGCAGATAAAGAGAAATCTGTACGGTGACAGCGGAAACGCGGTTTGGTATCTTACTCGATCTGACATGTCACTCAGACCTTGTAGCGTAGCATATCGTTTTTAAACCTCTAGCTCATGCAGGGAGCTACTATCTGGTTTCTGATTTTTTACTCTTTTAAATCGGGTGTGGAATCAGAATATGGGGCTTTACAAAATCCCTGCACTACTAGAGATGATACTGCCAAAGCTGGCAAAAGTCACACAATTGCTTGTTTCGATCCACGTTCTCCACATCATTCCGGCAATTTCACCTGGACGTTCTTTTATGATGCTGAAATTTTTTAAAGATAATTCGATAGTTTACAATTTTGAGGCCCTGAGTAAGCTATCATCACCTGAAATGTCAAGTCCGGCGAGCGGAAAAGAAACAAATACGTGCCACACCTCAGTCCGGCACTTATCGACTGACGAGGGAGAGTTTTGGCACGTTCCACGGAATTTGCTCGGCGCCATTTTCTTCCTCAGATTATGATATATTGCCGTCTAGATAGCAATTCGCACCCGCAGTGTTTAAGCATTATGTTCTTTAAAGCGAAACGCGTCTGATAAACCAGGACACTTCCGCCAGCATGTACCGAACAAACGACCAATCCATCACGGTGCCTGACATGGCCAGCATCGGCAGCGTTCCTAAGCGACGCAGCCTCGCACTGCTGCATCAGCGACGCAGCCTCGCACTGCTGCATCAGCGACGCAGCCTCGCACTGCTGCATCAGCGACGCAGCCTCGCACTGCTGCATCAGCGACGCAGCCTCGCACTGCTGCATCAGCGACGCAGCCTCGCACTGCTGCATCAGCCACGCTAGCGGGGCCGCCGCCGCTGAATATCGCCGGAAGGCGGACATCCGTCTGCGGGGAGGCTGAGGGAGGGGGGGGGGGGGGGGGCTGAGGGGAGGGGCGGTGCGGTCGATGCAAATTATTGTGCCATGTTTTCTTTCGCGCGAATACGACACGACGCTACATTGACAACAATGACGATGCCGAGACTTTTATTCACGCTGCAGCGTACTGGTAAGATGGAGCTTTTAGATACACACACGTACCACAATGCTGGAATAATCAAAATAGCTAACTAAAAACCTAGTGGTCCCCCTTGCTCAGCGAGCTCTGCCATTGTCACTGTTAGGCTCGGCCGCGTCACAAGCTTTTCCGCAACAATACCTGTGTACCCAGCGAACTACGTCAACATGATTATCCAAATACTAAGGCAAATACATTTTGTTTAGCTCAGCACACCAAAGATGGAGGCGGGCACGGAAATCGTCATCCTGTGCTCTCTGACACCTCATATCTCAAAATTATGCCTAACCCTGTTTTTCTCCCTCGCGCTCAATCCCTTTTCCTCCCTCGCTCTCTCTCTCGCTCTCTTTCGCTTCCCTCTCTCTTTCTCTCTTTCTCGCCCTCTCTCTCTCTCCCTCTCTTCTTTTCTCTCTCTCTTCCCCTCTCCCTGTACATACATCGCGCTTGCTCCGTCTCTCTGTACTTCTCTCCCCCTTCCTCCCATTGTAAAGCATAAATGCCAGGCTTGATCATGGCTCGATCATGAAAGGCTTGATCACGAATCCTACGTCATGACAGTAATTGCCTTCAGAAGCCCAGCTCGAGGGTAGCACTTTTTTCAAATAAATTAGCGTTCTCCGAGGATTCCATTAGCTGAACCAATAAGTGATCCCATTGAGTGACCGCTTCTGTTTACTTTAACCAATACCAGGCTGAAGCGGCATACATCTCGGAGGAAAGGAAAACAGTTACGGAGGCGGGCGCAGGAAATACATCGCTCCTAACAAAACAACGTTACTTTCCACGTAATCGTTTCACTCAGCTGAATATTAGCAAGTTAACTGCTATTAATATTTGGCCCAGCTGACAGCGGTGCGCTCGCTTAATAATTTCTGACACTCGGCGCCGGATGTCTGCGTCTGGCAAAGATGTCGGCAAACAGATGTCATTATGTAGGATGTGAGAACATAGTTTGGCTCTTGATTGCACGTGTATTACGTATTGACGACGCATTGCTTATCGAATGTATGCTTCAAGCAAAGGTTTCCTACAACAGACAACTGATCACTGCTGTTCACTGTCCGGTAGTTCGTTGGTACAGCGTGGTTCCAACACGCCACCGCAGTGCAGGTTAACTGTTTTTTTTTATAATGCGGCGTGCAGAATTTGGCAATACGTTTCCTATATAAATCACGCTAGTTAGGTTTAAGGGTGCGAAAACTGCTTATGTGCCATAACTTGGGCTTATAAACCAACAGATAAAACTCTAGTGAAGGCGAGAAAATGGAAGAAACAGATAAACTTTATCTCGCCCGAGTTGAAAACTTGACCGTGTGGCCTTATTTCGTATTCGCCAAGCTGGTGCGGTGCTCCTTCCCTCTCTTCTTCCTTCTCCATCTCATCTGTGGGCACCTTATTGAAGTGGAACCTCAGATTGTAAGGAGGGAAAGCAGAAGACAGCTCTTTACCTCATGTCACGTTCTGTCTAGCTTGAGCATTTTAAATCAACCACCGACAGCGGTACTTTAGGGCAGCGTTGGTCTTAGTGCTTCGGTAAGCCATAATGCAAGTCTGTTTCTGGCAAACAAAAACGATGCTATTACAGTTGTGCGTTCGCGCAGCCACTCCCCGGAAACGTTTCAGTGCTAAGCGTGGTCTATTATCTTTACTCAGAAGATGTTGTTACAAGCCAAGTTGATTTTTGCTAGGTCACTCCCTAATGAGGCTCAAATTTGGCTCGAGCGCACTATTATGAGCGCGAAAGATTAAACAACGTCGAGGCAGTTTCTTTACATTCAACCAAATACGAATAAGCTACGTTTGATATGTGGTTCTATTAAACATTCAACCCCATATCAGCACAGTAAGTTTGTCTGACGAGCCGTACCCAAACGGAAAACATTCGCGACAAGGCCGCGTGGGGCCGGTCTCCCTCCCTCACTGCACCGCCGCGCACCGCTTCTCTCTGCCCACGGGCAGACAAACGGTCGCACTCTGAGACATCAGCAGTACGGGGTCGCGAGCGTGGCCGCTCCGGTCAGGGAGTAGCGGCGGCGCCGCGCAGTCTCGCGCACGACTCGGCCGCGGCCGCCCCGCGCCAGGCCACGCCGCTCGCCGCCGTCAGTATTGATTCGGCGCCGGCGGTGGACGGCCGCCCCGTCCGACGCCCGACCCACCTGCCCCGCAGCCGTGATCCGGCCCGGTGACCTGGCCCGGTGACCTGGCTTGACCCCGGCACCCGGCACCGCTGGCCGCCACACGCCATGGCCGCAGCCCGACGCTGAAGGTGAGGCGAGGTGGCGTGGTGGGCCGGTCGGGGATCGGGCGGTTTCGTTCGGGTCTTTCGCTGTGTACAGGAGCTTTAGGTAGCTGAATTCTGTTCGGTAGATAACAAGCCTTGACGTTTCTCACGCTAGAGTTGCATTGTTCAAATGCCTTATATTATTTTAGCGTATGCCAAATTGGTACGGAATTTGGCATGGTGCAGGGCCAAAGAAGCACCGGATGATTCCTTCCACATTTTAACAGCAAATACATAAACAGGAGAACTCTCTTTTGCACTAAGAGTGCGCTGAGTGAAATTTATGCGGCTGTAGGTGAAAACTTTCGACGAAACCTCCAAAAGTGAACATAAGTCCGTTTATGCATGCGATAGATGATGGCTAGTTAGGACAGGCACTGAAAAGCTGATGACTCCCGCCTTGATAAGCTGTTGCCTTTATCGACTTCTGGTTTGGTCTGATTTGCGTTGTGTTCCTCACTGGGCCATCCTTGTTAACAATCTGAACTCAGCGATTGTTTTTCAACAGCGTACTCGTCGGTTCAGGTGGTATATGTTGCATTTCAATGTGTGGGGAATAATGTATGCATAACACTATTCACATTTGAGAATGCACAAACTGTTTGCTTGCATGAGTCGTATGCATCCATTGTGCATCGCATCAGTGATACAAATGAGCGAAAAGAGTCTTTACAAATGAAGGGATGTCCAGAAATTATGTTTTAAAAGCATAGAAGACCGACGGCATTGTCAAACAATTCTCCACTTTCGGGACCCAAAGAGAAAAATTAGAATGCATCTTTTGTTTTGTTAATGTATGACACGTATGTCTGTGAGACGTTAGAATTACTCCGATTTATAAGGATTCGTCTCTTTATTTCTCATCGTGCCGTCAAGCTGTAGCCTTTCTATTTTTCGTGTGCTTTCTGCTTGCGGTTTTTTCTCATAGTTTTTATCATATGTACGCGCGAATGTCATCGACGAATTCGCGCGAATGTCATCGACATTTATATCCCACCTAATTTACATTACATTTACTTACATTCTACTTAAGTTACATTACATTTGCATCCCAATGAATGATAATTTGAGAACATCTCATTTTCTGAACTCCCTATGAACATGACAGTGCTAAATTTTCCCGGCGACTATATCGCATCAGCCAGCGACCTTGGCATTCACCAGACTAACGTAGATATCGTTTCAGCTGATTCATTTCACCATTACAAGGTTTTTTCCTGTCAATATTGACAGATGTTTCAACGCAATCATTTCATCGGAGTCATGTGTGAAAGCGCATTATGCACTTTGCATTTGAACCAGTAGCTTTGATCATTCGATTCGCTCACTGGTTATGATGAAGTGATGCCACTTTTGAGCCCGCAGGCCCGCAACATGCGGGCTTGAAAAGGCTGCAGGGGTTTTCACGGATATTGCTAGCTACATTTTAGGTATTGGTGGGCATTATTCATATAAAATTATTTCACTTGCGTTCTCTTAACCATCAATTTATGCTTTACCAGCCAGCGATTCTTGGTAACAAATGCTGTTGGAAAAAGTTGTTTGTTCGCACAAAAATGATAAAATAGGGAAGTTGCATTTCGTTATCAAGTTTTCCAGTGATGTGATACATGACATTTAATGAACAAATAATGCATGACATGCCCTGGCTTAAACAGCAAACGGCCCAGCTTAATAACGGTCCAACCTACGGTTCATATAAGCCCCAACATGCCTTGTGGGAGGATGGAATCCCAACACAAGAGCAAGAACCATTCTGAGATAACCCCACATATGTGCTAGATTCTGCCATCGGTGTGGTTTCCTGTTCAATTGATGGGCTCCAGCCCCAGGAACAAACAACACAAGTTAGGCCCTTTATCCCTGATCAGCCCACTCAAACCATAGTTTGCAAAACTACACTCCTGAATTTTACACACCGTTTGTCAACTAAATCACAGGTCACAGGACACAGGTCACATACGGACGCACAAGAGTTGGTAGGCACGTCTTATAAATGCAACTACACAGGACATGTTCAAACAGCACGCACCACCTAAAGCCGGCATTAAATTGAAAGTACGGCCCTGCGTTGTAATTCCAAGCATGCCTGCGAAATCCATAACAGCAAACAAATTCATTCAAACAACAGCAAACAATTCACAAAACAATTCCTGCATCTCAAACCTCATGGGAAAGTTCTGCAAATATCTAGCAGTGCTTTCTGCTATATGCATACGCCGATTTTGTATCAAGCCGGGAGGAAAACTACAGGAAAACGCTGATAACGAAACCACCTCGGCATTTCCAGCAATTTTAAATATACGTATCGAATGACAAAAACGGAGGTTGAAAATTACTGGCCATGTCTTCAGGTATTCAAGGAACTCGGATATACAAGATGGCCTTCACGTGGCGTAGGGAGGGAGCTCATATTCACCCAGTCACGTTTGAATTCATCACCAGCTGTCCGGGAGCGAGCCATGATGCCATCTATGGCGCACTCGTCTTCGCCAAATACTACCGCTTACCCTCCGTTACTTGTCATGCGGACATGACTATGCCGAGGCTGATCGGATTTGTTTGACTATTTATCCGTATTGAAGAGATGGAGAATCAGTCCAGCATAGCGTTGTAGTTGAACAGCAGGAAGCAAAAACACGGCAAAATACTTTGTATTTAAATTCTAAACCTCCTTACTGCACGCAGGAAGCGTAATGGGCCACCATTTCAGTACCGATTGCTGTCTATGGCATTGGTAATACTGTTACTGTGGTGCCTTTTGGCTATGGTCAATGTTCTTTTTGATATTTCTTACAGAACATATGTGTATGTGTGAAGCTATCAATTTCTCAGCGCATATATCAATACTTCCTCGTGAAATTGACAGCTTGGCTAGCCCAAAAGACCAACTTCCTTTGGGTTTTGGATGGCAAGTTCTAAGGACCAAAGGTATGCATGCCCTCATATATGCATACGTGAGGCTGGGAAGTCCTCATATTAACCCAGGTAAATATAAGTTCAGTCTTAATTTTTTACATTCTGATGCTAGTTGGAGTTGTTTGATTTATTTCCTTTCAGATTAAAGGATGTTGGTTCCTTTGAAAGCCTTGTAAAGGACCAATATAATCTTGTCTTCAACAAAGACGATTTCATATAACTGAGACCAAAGGGAATGCATGCGCCGGTTGTTCAGCACGCTTTTCAAAGCAGTTCAGGATCTTCAAACTGAAATTTTGCAATTTTACCCAGTATTAGATTATGAATAACAGGCGCAAAAAATGTTTCTAAATTTTTAGCTTCTTGTGGTGAATCCGATGTGCTCATAAGAAGTATGTGAACCTGGAATTAGAATATGGGTGCTGATAAGTGTGTGAACCTGAAATTCGAAAAGGGCCCACCAATGCTGGCCATAATATAAACAGAAAAGAATTGATGAATATGTTTGTAGCATTCTTAGAGTCGCTTGCTTTGACAGCAATAACGTTTCCCATGAGGAATGAGGAAAGGACTTTCAATCAGGACATATCGTTTTGACGCGTTGGATTAAGCACTTGGAGTGGAGGATAAGGTTGGTCGGCTCATGCTGGCGTTTTGCGGGCACTTGCCGCCCCAAGGTATTCCAATTCTAAAAGGTGGCAGCTTTGTTATGATGCCAGAGATATACCATGAAAGAGAAACGCCATCAATACCTAGATATATGCTTCGCAGTCATCACAGTTACGCTACTATTACTTTCTTGATTATCTTTCAAGTGTAACTGTGTGGGCATGCACGTGTGCGTATTTGACATAATTGCAGTGTGTAAACTAATGCAACACCGACAGTGATTTCCAAACTCGCAACCCCTCGGTGAGAAAGCCATCGCATCGCGCATTGCTCCCAAACGAGGTTTTGCCTTGCTCCGTTTTGCTTTCGCTCTACGTTTCGCAATTTTTTCATACCCGACTCCAGCAGGCAACGTTGATGCATCGCAAACCCTTGAGCACATGCCCAAGCTTATGGAGCTTGAAGGCTGCCGCGTGACGCGACATCGAAGATGAAATCAGAACTGACCGCCTCCGTGACCCAATTGGTTAGAGCGCCTGCCTGTCACCCTACTCTTGGTGGAGTCCGTGGGTTCAAATCGCTTCGGCTTTCACTATTTGCCACTGCTTGGCTGAGCCGCGGCCGGTGGCTGCGGCCGTTCGAGGTCAGGTGGGTCAGAGGGCGGGGGGGGGGGGGACATTGCGGCACGTTAAGCACATACATTACAGCCGAGCATCTCAGCACGCTAAGCTTTCGCCGCGAAGTTCTGCTGTTGACCCTGAATTTCGCAATCGGATGGCGTAGTCAGGGTTCACACAACAAGCATTGCTCAGCGTGAGCTGCGATCCAAAAAATCCATCCGATCGAAATATTCGGAAATGCTTTTTATGAAAAAGGACACAGTCTGATTATTGAAATACCGTACTATAACCGCACTTAATAAGTAAAGCACGGTAGCGTGTTTCTAGACAGTCGCACTCACTGGAAAACCCTCACAGTCATGATCAGACATCAGACCAAAGGCGGACATTGATACGCACAACACGCAAAGTCCCCGCCCATTTGAACTACCACCCAGCGTGGAAAACGTACATTGGCCTGTTCAGTACCTTGTTTTATGAGACGTTTCCTTCGTTCGTCGTGTATGACGCGGTCGATGCGTGGGGGCAGAACCGCAGCGATCAACAAGGTATTGCAGAAGCGCTCCCGGACACAGAGTGACGCAGCAGGGTAGGTGGTTATACAATAGTGCTCCAGGGGTATGGCGGGAGTGGTATTTAGTTTTCGGGATAGAATAGAACCCAAATTTACCTGCCTGACAGTTACAGCGTACAGTTATCTGCGCATGAAGGGCTGCCGTGCATGGACGCGCCGAAGAATACGCTACCATTACCACCAAGAAAAGACTGAATGGACTAGAACACTGCTAGCCGTTGCTGGGAAACTAGCATGGTACAATTTTTGTGGAAACACGGCCC